CCTAGACCTGGGTACGGTCTCAAATCCTAGACCTGGGTACGGTCTCAGATCCTAGACCTGGGTACAGTCTTAGATGCTGAGCTTTTGGCTGCTCCAATCAACCCACATGAAGATGAGGAATCAGTTCATGTTTGCGACCAGCAAGAGTACCAACATTATGCAGAACATGCTCCTGTTTCTGAAAGTCAGGTTGATCCTGAACTGCAGAGATTAATAAACAGAAAAGATTATGTTGAAAAATCAGTTAAATGAAAAAAACAAAAAAAACAAAACTGAGGATAATGGCTATAAAGTCAGATGCTACACTGGTATTCCATCATTCCTTATGAGTGTATTTGATCTGGTGAAGTCATTCATACCAAAGTCTAAAGTAAATAATAATTCAGGTCAACATGAATTCTTTGTGATGACCCTAATGCATCTTAAGCTAAAACTTCCTGTGCAAGATTTAGCTTTTCGATTCCAAACTTCTACCTGAATGGTCTCAAGGACATTTTTGATTGTCATACATGTTTTATACACACAACTAAAGAAATTGCTGTATTGACCCAAGCGGGATGAATTGAGGAAAACCATGCCTCTGGAATTTCAAAAACCTTTTGGACAAAGAACAGCTGTTATAATTGACTGCCTTGAAGTGTTTATTCAGAGGCCTAAGAACTTGTTGGCATGTGCACAGACATGGTCAAACTATAAGCACACAGTAGAGTTCTTAATAGGTTTAGTGTCTTTTCAGTCCAAAGCATTGGGGGGTGGGGGGTGGGGGCACAGCAAGTGACAAGTACTTCCAGGTGACCTCATACTAGAAGATCGTGGTTTCAACATAGAGGACAGTGTGGAAACCTACTGTGCAGAGGTAAACATTCAGAGTTTCACCAAAGGTAAAGCACATCTATCTGCAGTCGGCGTGGAAACCACAAGGAAGTTTGCACATGTCAAACGGGTCATTGGACTTGTGAGAAACAAATATACTAAGCTTCAAGCATGTCTATCAGTAGACTCCTACTGGTAATCAAAAATGATGACAGCTTGCCAGTGGTTGACACAATTGTGACTGCCGCATGTGCACTTAGCAACTCATGTGACTCTGTAGTCTCACTAACTTGAGCATAAAGAAGGAATTGACACTATTAAGTAATCAACAAAGTCCATGCTCAATAATCCAGGTATACAATCCAACAATTTTCAGTTTAGCACCAACATAACTGGTTTGTTCCACTTTGGAATAAGCTGTTGGGGGAAGAATCAGTTTTGTGTTGCGTGTTTCCTTGACTGATGAAGCCTTCTGGATGGAAGGTGAAATATTTCAGCACACAAAAAAGAAACTGTCCAGATGACCTGACTAAAAATTGTTGGATTACTGAGTAATGTTTGCATTATTGCAAAATATTATGGAATAAGAACATGAATGAATAGAAGCCACATCTCTGGAAGACCAGAGTACCAAAGTTGTCCACACGGTAACATGTGCTGTGCTGCATGAGATAAATATGTTTGTTACAATGCGTTTATTCTGTACCCCAATATCTGATAACCAACAAGTCCTCAACAGTTGCAGCTCAGCAAAATACTACCATAGTTTAACTACTGGAGTCAATAGTCTGTGATAATTAAGACAACGTCAGTGTTTCCCTTACCATTATGCGCCCTGTCTACCAAACTGAACTGCACAACCCCCAGCCAATCGATATTTGTCACGACACCTGTCCCAATGAAGCACCAAGCTAGCAGCACGCTAGCTAAAAAACTAGAGGCAGTTCTTACACTGCCTCTTCTCTCACGCTGAACCCCCTCCACCCCATACGAACAGTGCGCAGCTCAGACGTGTCTGAGCGCCCTTGCCATGGAAAGTAATCTAAAGGAAACACTGAACGTTCTCGCACAAGGTTTACGAGAGCAGTGAAAATAAGCAGGGGAAGATTCTCAGTCATCTAGGACATAATAAAACCAGAAATAAAGGTTAAAAACAAACAACTGGACTTTTCTGTTCTGTGGCTGAAGAGGTTTCACTTCCCATCCAGGAGGCTTCATCAAGTGAAAAAATGTCTGGAGTGTGTGGAGCCCCAAGCTTTACAGAACTGCATGAGAGGCCTCGTTGTGTACTTGAGTCACCCGACTCCATTGTGAGGGGCGAGTTGTTTTAGTCTAATCTGAGTGAGTACATGAAGAGCAGTGAAACCAAATATGACAGCAACAAACTAAACAGAACATCTCTCTGAATGTCAGCGTGGTTCGCCGTAGAAATTAAACACACCCTCACCTGAGACCTGGCCTGTGGGGTCGGGCTGTGCTGTCTGCTGGAGGTCTCTTTGGGCATAGAGTGCTGAACATCCAAAGTGTCTTTGTGTCCTGGATCAAAATGTACATTTACAGTCACAATTAGAAAGTCTAAGGCTGCGATGCAATCAGAGCCAGACAAACTGCTCGGTAAGTGCTGCCTGATTCAACACCAACTCCAAAATCAGATTCTTGTTGAAAAACTCCTCCCTGTGTTAACCTCCACCTGACAAGCCACATTACCACTAAATATTCATTATTCAGCTCAGGAAAACATGAGCTTCAGTCACATTACGTGAATTCTTGCCACCCCCAGAAGCAGAGAAAGGAAAGAAGGCACCAGATAAATGTCAAGAGTTTTGATCTTGAGATGAAGAGGCTCCCAGCACCCAGCAGATGCAGCCCTTAATCTCAGCTCAGACTAAAGCTCAAACCTCTCGTCTTTGCTTGTCTTGCCATCATCTTCTTGCCATGTATGTCTTTCGACCCAGTTTGACCGTCACATGGAGACGCTGCTGGTTCTGAAACACCACCGCTCTTTCGCCTGGGGCGTCTTCTGGTCACCACAGCAGGGTCTTGTGAGCAGCCTGGTTCTAGGGGTGGTGAAGCCTCTGGATCTGAGAGAATTTCTGTGTGTGTGGTTCTTCTAACAGCACCACACTGACCTTCTTCTTCATCAATGAATGCTTCATTCACGTATCCCCACATCGCAGCCTTCTCCCCCTCCCCACTTCTTAACCCCTGTGTATTCTCTGGCTTCGCAGCATAAGCAGGCATGCAGGCAGGCTGAGCAGAACTTGATTTCTCAGAGATAACAATAACTGTAGGATACACACAAGCACACTTCTCCTCTGTTTTCTCTACAGTACACTGAGCTTCATTCTCATACTCACCTACAAACGCCCCAAACGCTACAGGAATGTGCCCTGGCTTGGGGGGTGGCTGGTAAAGTCCAGCCAGAGCAAGTTCGGGGTGGCTGGAGCCACTAGGCTGGGTTGGGGTGCTGCTGATTTGGAACTGAGCACCAGAGGAGGGCACATTGGGCAGACTGGATGGTGAGTCAGAAAGGTGCAGCTCTTGCGGACGGGTTAGTTTGCTCTGGGAGAGCTGGTGGCCTCGGTGACAGAGCTCTGGAGACGCACCCAAAACAGCACTTTGGACAAAGGCACTGCTCGAGGAACCAGCCTCTGCAGCCAGGTGTCCAAGCCCAAATAAGCTCTTCTTCTCTGGACTCAATGATGGGCTCAAAGTGGGCTCCAGCCCCAGTTCAGTTCCTGGGCTGGGCCCGAATCTCCGGCGGCTTTCCAGCCCAGCTCCTCCTTCAGCTCCAGTCCCAAAAAGAGAATCTGCAATGTTGGATTCTGTTTGGGGAAAAGAGGACCCAAAGTAGGCTCCCACACTGCGTTTGCCTATGATGGACGTTTTGGAGTCTGTTGGCACAGGAACAATGCTCGGGACCACGTTCTTGGACAGACTGAGCTCCCGGGTGATCTGAGTGTGGACCTTGCTGGCCTCGGATGCCCTCTGAGCAGCTAGCGTCTTCAGGGTGTCCACAGTCAGAGCTGAGAGGTCTTGAAGGTGACCAATCTGCGAGTCCAACGTGTGCAAGGATCGCTTTATGAAGTTCACCTTGTTCCCGACCTCCTTCAGCTGCAGACACATCGTCTCTACCCTGGAAACAGAAAGGTAGGAACAAGTCTGGTGTCATCTCTCCATACCTGCCTGTACACAGGTGTACAACACTTCACTTCTAAAATTTAATTCAAGTGTAAGTATGTTTTTAATAAACATCACAACAACCTTTCTGAGGTAAGACGTATTCGCTCCTCACTTCCAGAATGAAGACGATCGTCCTTTTCATGAAAGTATGTCTCCACGCACTGCTCCTCGAAGTCGTGAAGCTTCTTTTGGTCTTCCTCAGTGAGAAACAGCTCTGAAAATAAAGCAGAACGTTACCAGTGGAGATGTTCGTGAGGCAAAATCTCAGGCATTTTTTGTACAAACAAAGAAAATAAAAACATTTTTCAGTTACTTGGTCCATAGGTGCTCTCCTTCTTCCTCTTTCTACACATACAGAAGAGGGAGTAAACGTGGCACAGCAGGATGAAGGGAGGTGGGAGGACAGGCTTCTCATGATAAGCCATAACGAAGTGGTAGCGCTGGTACTTCCACACCAGATTAGAGATGGACTTTACTTGCATATACACATTGCTGGGAAACAGAAAAATAAAAATGTCTCTTGGATATTCAAGAACGTTGGTTACGTACAGTAACCCCAGATACTATGAGTATAGGCGGAGCCCTTTAAGGCTGTCGCTGGTGGGTTTTATCCCGTCACGCGAAGCGTAGCACTGAAAACTTTAGTCCACGCCCACCTGTTGTGTGGGCCTCACCCGGTCCGTATAAATTACGTTGAGAGAGCAGGTAATCGGCTCCCAAATTGCTTTTTCTTCAGCCATTTAGGAGCCAGTGAGGCCCAGCGCTTAAAGGGCTACGCCTATACTCATAGAATCTGGGGTTACAGTACGTAACCAACGTTCTATTTCGTATAGGCTTCGCCCTTTAAGGCCATCGCTGGTGGGTTAAAGGCAAACCAGGATGTAGTCTATGCCTCACTGGGTCCGTTCAGACACAATATGAAGCGCCTGCTTGCACCAAAAAACATTTCATCACTCAGCCTTCTATAATTACGCGTTCCATGCACAGGTGCGCCCCGGAGAGAAAAGGGTTTCCGGTGGTGGAAAAAGGAGGAAGGCTGAAAGCAGTCCTGCTGCCGAGAATGGGAAAGAGCAGGAGGTTACGATTGTAACAGTGTAGCAGTGAATAGAGCAGATCAACAGTTCTTCAATATGAGTGGATTAATAGTAATGAACTGATTAGTAATCAAATGAACTGATTGGTAACAGTAGTCATGAACTGATTGGTAACAAAAGAACAAAAACAGCAGTCACAGAACTTGTGACTGATAATAAATATCTCACACTGTAATTGCATGCAGTCAGGTGTGAGTTTAAACAGAAATTCCATGAAAACATTAAGATTTATTCTGTTACGGCGCCAAGGACAGAATGTGCCATGGAACCAGAAACATCACGCAAATAAAAGCAGATAAATGAGCAAGGCGACGACCATGCAGCCGCCGTGCAAATATCCTGCACTGTCGTACCATTATGCAAAGCTGTCCAAGATGCAATTCCTCTGGTCGAATGCGCCCTGAGGTTCTCTGCGATGAACGGTGGAAGCGATTTTAAAAAACATTTTGTGTGTAAAAAAATAATAGTGATTTTTAAATCGCTTCAGCAGTTTTTTAAAAACATTTTTTGTATAAAAACAAAATATTATTTTATTTAAAAATCGCTTCCACCGTCCGTCCCAGACTGTCCAGTCCGCCTGACTGCCGGGTGGGATCGGGATTCAGCCTTCATGATTACGCGCCGCCGGGGTCTCGCAACGGCCATCTGCGAGTCCCCATCTCCAGCTTCGCAGTGACCAGCAGAGCTCTGAGCACACAAGGCTGGTATCCGGAACCCGAGCCTCCGAGTCGGCACATCGAAGGATATTCCGCGGTGACCAGCGGAACTCGGAGCCGGGGAGATGACGCCCTGCCCGGCCTGGCGCTCCAAGGCTCCGGGGGGAGGATTGGGGTAGACCAGCAGAGCTCCATCCAGCTTGCTCTGAATTATGTTGTCGGCCACCAAGCACAAAAAACGCCAGCACATCAGCATTAGACCAAGATGTTGTCAGTATTGTTTTTAAAATAAGTCCAGCCGCTGCTCCAGTCCGAGAAATTGCAAATGGCGGATCATTGTTTTGAAAAGTTTCTGAAGGATCCAGTGACTCCGCCCCCGACCAATCAGTGACCGACAGTGTTCTGACGTCACGTTTTAGTACCTCTTCGTTCGGGTTAGAACCACAGAGCCAAGGGTACTGAAAATACTAACAGGTGCTAAGTACCTGTACTAATGGAAAAGCCTCAGAACCGGGCTAAGTAGGGTCCAGTCGGCCCGTACCGGTACTAATGGAAAAGGGGCATTTGTGTGGTTTCTCGAGCTGCAGTGACATTTAAAAACTTGTTTTGAGGTCATTGACTTGTTTTGTGTGGAGGATGTGTGAGATCACTCGATCTGACAGTCAGGCTGGAATCAGAAGACACTTTATTCTCTGAATGATGTTTTCGTTTTATTTTAAAACTCATGTCATCATTGCACACACACACATCCTCCACAAGGAGTCAATTCTTATATCTTCTTCCGCGTGAGCCCCGCGGCTGGTTGTTCCAGGGAGGCACCAATTGGCGGTCTCTGGGGAAACGCTGAGCCGCTGGTTGCCGTGACGAGAAGGACTGTTCTCTGGCGGGAGGACGCTGCTGCAGCTGTGGAGCGTCTCTGCTGCTGCCTCAGGCCACAACGATCTCTCCAGCGGGCAGGGGGGCGAGAGGAGGAGTGTGGTTTCATCAGGTGGCGCACAGTCTCCGACACCTCCTCCGACTTCTTCGATTTTTCAAGCATGGCTTTGAAATTGGCCCCGAACAGCGCGTCCGTCGTGATGGGGCCCTCCAGCAGGTCTTTCTGCAGTTTCTCCGGCAAGGAGGGGGAGTGTCGGAGCCAGGTGGACCTCTGGAAGCATGCAGCGATGTGCGACAGGCAGAAAGCAGAGGAGGCGCCCAGGCTGAGGATGAAGTCAGATGCTTTGCAGAGCGAGCTCTTCGTCTCCTTAGGCAGGTCTGTGTCCTCCAGCCTTTTGGAGATGCTGTATGCCAGCAGAGCGACGTTGTTGTTCGCTGCGGCTGCCTGGAACGCACACTGGTGGGCTCGGTTGGAGAGCGACGTCACCGTCTGGTCGTGTCTCCCTGGAGGGACAGGCCGCTGGTCCAACCTGGACACTTTTGCCCCGAGAGCTTCCGCCAGGCTTGGCTCCAGGGGGGGTACCAAGGGAAAATTCCGCTCAGTAAACCCCTCCACTCTGGTGATGGGAGCGAAGGTGAAGACGGGCGCTCTCAGTTGACCAGGTCCAGCTGCAGCCTCGTTCCAGTAGGACGTCACTGCTGGGAAACGAGGCCAGATGGGGTCAGGGAGGCGAGCCGGGGTGGAGCCAAACCTTCCCGCTAGATCATCCGATCTGGGCGGGGGAAGGAGAGGGACGGAAAGTGCCTTCGTGTCAGCCGCCTCCTGGATTATGCCGGGCAGCTCCGCAAGGAGGGCACCGACGGCTCGGAGCGGTGTGTTCGCTGATGCGGGAGGCCCAGGGGGTGAGCATCCGCTCACCCCACGCCAACACTATGCTCTCCGGGAGGGAATGAGCAGCGGGGCTGCTGCTGACGTCGCCTGTCCTGGAGGAACCATCCGATTCGCTCAGACTTGGCGTCAAAAAAGGCGATGGCGTTGTCCAGCGTACAGTCCCCCGCCACAGAGAGGCACTCCTCGACGTTAGCCTTGAACAAGGCTGCTCGCCTCTGCCTCTCCTCAGGAGGGAGGAGGTCACAGAGACGGCAGGAGGAGTCGAGGTTGGTGTGGTGGGGACCCAGGCATCCTTCACAGGCATCGTGCCGGTCGAATCTCAACATGTAGCCGGCCGGTCTTGCAGGATGGGCACAGGCAGATGGTGTTGATGCTGGACATCGCGTTCTTGTGAAGATCAGTGCTGATTGCTTGCTGAAGAAAAATGGGAGCCGCTCATCGTAATTTATACGGACCTGGTGAGGCCCACACAACAGGTGGGCGTGGACTAAAGTTTTCAGTGCTACGCTTCGCGTGACGGGATAAAACCCACCAGCGACAGCCTTAAAAGGCGAAGCCTATACGAAATAGAATAAAGAGTTATGAGCACATTGGAACAACGCAGCAGATGAATTTCACTAGCACAAGGTCTTATTCAGGACTGTAAATGATCAGCACTTACTTAAAGAAGGCAATGAGAAGGTTAACCATCAGTATATACTGTACAAAGAGGTAGACTGCTTGTAGGAAAGGAGTCAGAAACACTCCTGGTCCACACAGGGGCTTTACCGACTCATCAGAGTTATTGGCACAAACTGCAAGGAGAAAGATTATTATGAGCACAGACCTAAAATAAACCAAACCCTCTCACAGCTGCCCTTCTGCATTAAAGCTAAAACAGAAATACACAAGTGTTACACCAAGGATATTGCTTAAAACAGTGGTTCTCAAATTGGGGCCCACGAGCTGTTGCTTAGGGATCCACAAAAAACAAACAAACAAACAAACAAACGTCTGTCTCTGTCTGTCTACTGCTGTTATGATTCAGTTCAGGTTTATGTAAATAGTTTTCTGTAATAATTTGAAGAAGTGGCGTTACATTTACTATGTTCGTTATGTGAATAGGTAAAGTTTTAAAGTGTTTTTCTGATACTATTAATTTTCTCAAAACTGTATTTTTTGTATATTTAAAAGTATAAACATTGTATTAACACTATTAAAGAGCAGGTGTTAAGTACTGTATTTATGTTACACAAATATTTCTGATGTATTAAAGAGACAAACTCAAGAAAATTATTAAATAAACATGAAGGTTATGAGGGGGGTCCCTGAACCCAAAAAATTTGAGAACCTCTGCTTAAAAAAAAAAAAAAAAAAAAATTAAATTGAACTTAATATATTTATTTTAATTTTAAAAAAGTTTTCTTTTTAAAATCTGAATATTTTATTATTTTATACCTGGCTGCAGCTGTTGGCAGCTTGTTATTCATACATGGAGATTCTCCTCCAGCTAAGATTAAAAAAAGCCAAAAAATCACTTTAAGTTAAGTTTTTCTACATTTAAATTCATTGTAGTTGCTGCTCATTTCTGAGACAATCAGCTGAGAGGCTTTGAATGGCTCGTGCCATCATTGTTCCTACCGTCAATTTCATAGGCGTACACTTCCCCGTACATCATCCAGTACGGTTGAAAAACCACATCTCTGGCCAGACTCCAGCTGGGCTCCTCATTTGGGTACAGAATGGCTTTCCTCGGTACCCCATAGCTCAGGAGGACAATAGCCATGATGACCACAATATAAAACATGTTGGCCACCTGCAAGGGATACCACAGAAGTGAATGCAACATGTGACTTAATTATTATCAGTGCTTGAAATATTTTAGTCTCACAGACTTGAGAGTTTAGTGCATTTGAATCAGCCCTGGGAATCCAAAACCAGCAAACATTTACTGTCCCGTTAACAAATAAAACAAGAAGAACAAAACATTCTTCTTTTCTTTAAATCGGTTCAAAACTTCAGAATTAAAGCAAAGCGTTTTATATGTATTTAAATTCTCAGGGTTGACGAACTAAGCCATGAACATGAACACATGAATGAAACGCATTTAAATTAGGTCTAGTTCAACTCCTACAAGGGGTTTAGGAAGTCAAGGAAAATTTATATACATTTGCTTTCTTGCTGAGATTAAATCCACTGTAATTTTAGCTACATGGTACTTATTTATGTATTTTTACATGCATGTATTTAGTATTTGTGTATTACATGAGCAAAGTAATAAAGTTTGAGCTGGAATGCACACATTGCCTGAAATTTTTTAAATATTAAAAGAAAAAGGACAGAAAATCCCTACAGCAGAACCCTTGAGTACTCAGGAAATTAATGAAAGATAAACACTTACACCAGTACTAAACTTATTTTAAGTTTTTTTTTTTTTAACTGCACAAACTATTAATGATTCAATTTTTCAAATGTACTATTAGTAAACACACAGAACTTCAAACACGTTTCGGGGGAGGTGGGGGACATCGAGTCCGAGTGGGTCATGTTCCACGCCTCTATTGTCGAGGCGGCTTATCGGAGCTGTAGCCGCAAGGTTGTCGGTGTCTGTCGCAGCAGTAACCCTCGAACCTGGTGGTGGACACCGGTGGTGAGGGATGCTGTCAGGCTGAAGAAGGAGTCCTATTGGGCCTTTTTGGTCTGTGGGACCCCAGAAGCAGCTGATGGATACCGGCAGTCCAAGCAGCATGCGGCTCAGGTGGTCACTGAGGCAAAAACTCAGGCATGGGAGGAGTTCGGAGAGGCCGTGCAGAATTATTCCGTAGGGCTTCGAGGCGATTCTGGTCCACCATCCAACATCTCAGGGGGTGGAAGCGGTACACCACCAACACTGTTTATAGTGGAGGTGGTGAGCTGCTGACCTCAACTCAGGATGTCGAGGATCGGTAAGCAGAGTACTTCAAAGACCTTCTCAATCCCACCAGCATGTCTTCCACTGAGGAAGCGGAGCCTGGGAACTTTGGGTCGGGCTTTCTAATCGCTGGTGCTGAGGTCACCGAGGTAGTTAAAAAGCTCCTTGGTGGCAGGGCCCCAGGGGTGGATGAGATTCGTCCGGAGTTCCTTAAGGCTCTGGATGTTAAGGGGTTGTGCTGGCTTACATGACTCAGCAATATTACGTGGACATCAGGGGAAGTTCCCCTGGATTGGCAGACTGGGGTGGTGGTCCCCCTATTCAAAAAGAGGGACCACAGTGTATGTTCCAACTCCAGAGGGATCATGCTCTCAAGCCTCCCTGGTAAGGTCTATTCAGGGGTTCGGGAGAGGAGGGTCTGTCGGATAGTCGAACCTCGGATTCAGGAGGAGCAGTGTGGTTTTCGTCCTGGTCGTGGAACACTGGACCAGCTCTACACTCTCAGCAGGGTCCGGAGGGTGCGTGAGAGTTTGCCCAACCAGTCTACATGTGCTTTGTGGACTTGGAGAAGGCGTTCAACCATGTCACTCAGGGAACCCTGTGGGGGATACTCTGGGAGTATGGGGTACCAGGCCCTTTGATACAGGCTGTTGGGTCCCTGTACGACTGGTGTCAGAGCCTGGTCCGCATTGCCAGCAGTAAGTCGGGCTTGTTCCCGGTGAGAGTTGGACTTCGCCAAGGTTGCCCCATGTCATCGATTCTGTTCATAACTTTTATGGACAGAATTTCTAGGTGCAGCCAAGGTGCTGAGGGGATCCATTTTGGTGGCCTTAGGATCGTTTCTCTGTTTTTTGCAGATGATGTAGTTGTATTGGCTTCATCAGGTCATGATCTACAACTTTCACTGGAGCGGTTCACAGCCAAGTGTGATGCGGCCAGGATGAGGATCAGTTCCTCCAAATCCGAGGCCAAGGTCTTGAGCTGGAAAAGAGTAGGGTGCCCTCTTCGGGTCAGGGAGGAGGTCCTGCTCCAAGTGGAGGAGTTCAAGTATCTCGGGATCTTGTTCACGAATGAAGGAAAAATGGAGCGAGAGATCAATAGGCGAATAGATGTGGCGTCTGCAGTGAAGTGGGCGCTGTACCGGTCTGTCGTGGTGAAGAGAGAGCGGAGTCAAAAGGCGAAGATCTCAATTTATTGGTCAACCTATGTTCCTACCCTCAAATATGGTCATGAGCTTTGGGTTGTGATCGAAAGAACGAGATCACGGATACAAGCGGCCGAAAAGAGTTTTCTCCGCAGGGTGTCTGGGCTCTCCCTTAGAGATAGGGTGAGAAGCGCAGTCACCAGGGAGGGACTCAGAGTAGAGCCGCTGCTTCTCCACGTCAAGAGGAGCCATTTTATGTGGCTCAGGCATCTGGTTAGGATGTCTCCTGGACGCCTCTCTGGTGAGGTGTTCCAGACACGTCCCACCGGAAGGAGACCCAAAGGAAGACCCAGGACACACTGGAGAGACTATATGTTTCTCGGCTGGCCTGGGAACGCCTGGGGATTCCCCGGAGGAGTTGGCCCAAATGGCTGGGGAGAGGGAAGTCTGGGCCTCCCTACTTAGGCTGCTACCTCCGCAACCCGACCCTGGATGAGCGGAAGAGAATGGATGGATGTCAAATGTATTCTTAGTTAATATACACCAAGCTAATTTCCTGATAATTTATTAGAAACCTCAGCAAGGAAACTAACTTTTTCAGTGTATATACCGTGTGTTTGTGCGCGCGCGCGTGCATATATATATATTATATATATATACACTTTTTTTTTTAAGAATAATTTGTTAAAAGATATGTTGATGTTGTGAAATTAAAGGAGAAAGAAGCACAAAGGGCAGGATATGAGGAAACTGATGAGGCCAAGCAGGATGTTATAACTTGGTACCATACCTGGCAACAGCGTGGAGATAATGCTGTTTAAACGTGAACATTCAAAGCAAAAAACATGGACACATGGGAAAAAAAAAAAAAAAAGTAACAAATGTTTTTCTTGGCACTGTACACACAGCAGTTCACAAAAATAGAAGAAAAATGGAAAATTGACAACATATTTTGCTCTGTATCGAGACAACCTGCCAATATCAGGAAGAGACGATCTGAGCAGTTGGATCTGGTGCAAAACAAACTAAACAGTGTTTAGGCATGAAATCACTAAACTTTAGCTGAACCAGCTTTTGTGGTTTCTGTGAGCATTACAAACAGGAAGCCAGTAACTGCTTACTTAATAAAACAGAAGTGTTCAAATAATTAATTAAAAGTGTGCGCTGTTCAGTGTTACAAATGGATCATTATAAAGAACTCACCATTTTAGCGATCATCATGACATAAGGTCCAGCTTGCTGGTTTACAGCCAGGATGTCCAGCAGTCGAACGTACCAGAAGATGATATTAAGACAGTAAACTATCCTCCCCGGGACGGAAGGGGCCTCTTGGCCCAGCCTCAAGCCGAAGCCGATAAAGAACATCACAATGGCCAGAAAGTCACACATGTTATAATAGTCACTGAACCACACCTTTATTTTCTGGCCAATTTTTCCTGCTTCAGACATAAACATCTGAGGAAGAAAGACAACACAGGCATGAAAAGTTGACAAACAATACCTGAGGTTTTAATTTAACAGATGAGCATTTAGTAAGAAGCTGCCTAAAAATATTTAGTAGTCTTCTGGGATGTGATGTTTTAGCACCCGTTAACTTCAACTATAAATGTTTTCTTGTTTTACACACCTCTCTGATTTTCTCGATGGCAAAGGTGAAGATGTAGAGGATGACCACCCACTCTTGAGGAGACGGCCAATCAGGCAGTTTCACCAGAACCACGTATGTGTACAGCATCAAGTAGCCCAGGTAGAAGAGCTAAACCCAGGAGACACAGAGCATGGTGAAGGTACCACATTTAAAAACGCAAACTGAGCTACAGAGGATTCAGCTGCTCTTAAATATGTTTATTATTGAGATTCATTTTTCTTGGTTACATTTTTCGGCACTAACTCGTTATGTCAACAAATCATATCAAAATGTTCAGCTCATTCAGGACTGCTATGGCTTTTTGTATGCGTGTATTTAACTTTTAATATTTAGCTTTGTCGGCCACGTTTTTCCTCGTAAAAAATGGAGCTCTCTTCACGTCCTTCAAACTCTTTGTGCTGTTTAAAACCTTTTACTGCTCATTTCAGCTTTTGGTCTGGTTTAGCTTTTTTCAGCTTCTTTGTGCTCATTTTTAGTTTTTTTTAAAGCTAATTTTTCTGCTTCTTTTAGTTTCGTTTGGCTAATTTCAGTTTTTCTGCTGTTTTCAGCCTCTTTCTGGTAAATTCAGCTTTTTTTTCTTCTTTTTAAAACTATATTTTTTAGCTAATTTTAGCCTTTTTACTGTTTTTTTCCTTCTCATTTTGCCTTTTGTAATTCTTTCAAATAATTCCTATCTTATGTGCTCCTCTCAGCCTCTCTCTGTCTAGTTCAGCTTATTCTGCTAATTTCAGCTCTATTCAGCTTTTTCAACACATTTCTGCTGTTTTTCTTTTGCTTTCCGTTTTAATTTTCCTGCTTTAAGCAGATGTCAGCTGTTCAAATTGAACTTGCACAAACAGTTTAGTGATGAAACATGAAACGTAGTTTCTCTAGTTGTAAATGTAAACACACTGAAAAGACATTCCAGAATATGTCAGATGACATATGATAGTTGTTCTACGCTGATAGAGGGACAGGCTTCCTCTGATTTGTTTTGTTTTCTTGTTGTAAGACGCTGTCAGCTGAGGTCCTCTTCAGGGTCTAAACAATCACAACACCCATTTGTTCGGGGCATTATTGCAATAAATACTGTAAAACTTAAACGGCCAATATGTAAGTACTGAAGCCACTGTCGGCCTAAAGTGTTCGTGACATCCAATGATCGTTTATGATTCAGATATACTGTCACAAATATCATTGAACATGCGCAGTAACAGGAAGTGACATCAGAGAAGAATGTCAGTGTGTAAACAGAGCACTGCTACTATAGCTGACAATACAGACAGCAGCAAACAATTAGAGAGAGCTGAAGAGGAGGCAGAAGAGGAAGGTCAGCTAGAACCAGGTAGCAGAGCACTAGTTTTGGGTGCTGCTATGTTTGAGCCCCTGGCACAGCCAACAGCTCAACATGACGCTCAAGTGACCGAAGGCGAAGCTGAGCAGTTCACCTTTTCCATCACTTCGCCAACGGCGCCTAGTTCTAAAGATGTTTTCTTCTATTTTTGTATTTGTAAGAATTGCACGTCAAAGGCATTTTAAAGCACTGTTGCAAAAATGTCAAGAGAATACTGCTGTAGAGCCTTTACTTGTACTGAAACGATCTACTGCTGCTCCCCTGGGAGGAGTCAACACACCATCTAAATAAAGCTGCTCAATCAAACCGCAGACTGTGGGAAAAACATCCACTGGCAGAGACAAACATCAGTCTCTTGCTGCGGCTTTGATTAGGTCGACAGCTTTTTTTTTCTTTTAAAGTAGCTGAACCATGACATGAGACTCGAACCGATGGAAAAATCAGCCGTTCTCCATGAATGATGCATAAGTCAATGATGCAGTGATGTGTTGGAATCAGGTACAGCAGATGTAGATAAGCTCAGGTTGAGGCTGTGCTCAGCGATGTTATCAGCACCCCTCAGCCTTGAACCTGAGAAAACCTTTTTTTTCTGCAAATAAAACCAGCAACAAGGACTCAGGGGGTCCTGAGAACCAGCCTCAGGTCTTTTGTCTAATACATATACAGATAACAAAACCAGAGAACAGGTGAGGTGAATATAAACAAGAATGTTGAAGGAAATGTAGTGAAACAGAGTTCTGAATTCCCTGATAAAACTTTGGGTGTGTCAAATTGTCCTTCAAGATATGATGAACTTTTAAAAAACACCAAAAGATAGCTTAGTGAAAGTGAAATTGTTTTACCGTGTTGGACCAGAACTTGACAATGGGAGCACGGTAGAAGGTGTAGATTTTTCTTGTTAGGGGCAGCTTTCGGGAGCGAACATGCGTCTCCATGTCATGTTTTCCCTCCATGTGTTCGTGGGGCTTGGCCTCCTTGAAGACGTCCTGCAAAGTGGTTAACAAGGCGCCCGTTAGACAAGCCATGATAAGACAGAGCAAATCAGTAATAACTCTGACCGTAAAGTAGCATCAAAAGAATATGTAAGCAAATGATGTGAAAGTTTAAATACTGTACAGGGTTAACATTACATATTGCTGTGCATTAAAATTGAAACTGTCTAGCTCATTTAATTAAACCTAAGTGCTAATCTTGGATTTCTAAAGGCATAACATTCGAATCAATGACACAAAATGGGGAATTAATGGATTTTGAGAGTCTGAAAAAGGTATACTAGCTCAAAAACTCTGATTTTTTTTTTCCAGATACCTGCAAGTACAACATAATTCTTTGAACACGGCATTAAACCCAAAACAGACCTTAATGATCCAATATTAAAAACTATTTTGACTGCTTATAAAAGTGATGCTGTAAAGGGGACCAGTTACAAGTTTTACAAAGGCTTCCTGATGAAAAACACACACGCCACTGACTACATTAAAGTAAAATGGGAAAAAGAATCCAATATATTGATGACTAAGGATGAATGGTTAAATATATGAGTTTCAGGTACCAACTCTCATACTTGGCCTGAGTGTAACTGGAAATGTCTTATTCACTTTTTCATTACACCAAAGCAAAAAAAACTTTAATCCTGGTGGTGCGAAATGTTTGAGGCTGTGCAGCTCTCAGGAAGCTGACCGTTGACGTATTTTGGGAATGCCCTATAATAAAACCATTTTGGTTTGAAATTCATAAAACCGTAACTATTATAGTCAACCATAATGCTGGCGACCCGGGCTTCAGTCAGCCACAGAGACGGAGTAAATCTTTACCATCGGGATGTCGTCTGCTATGTTCTGAAAGTTGTGCTCGCTGTCCTCCATGGTCATCTGGTGATCATCTTGACTCTGAGGGATGTGAGCCATCTCAGCTTTAGATTTATACTCCAACAGCAGGATGGCAGGAGGCACCAAGATACTCAGAATCACCTGAAGGAACACACACACTCATGTGGGTGGCTGCTGCAATGTTTGCTGAAAGTTCTCACAACATACACTGTTAAACATTTCTGTAGTAATGTAGTATTTTTCCAGGTTTAACAGATTTTTCTCTGCTTTGGTAGAGCCAAAAATAATCACAACACAACTAAAGTTAACTACAAATGCAATGGCAAAGTATTTTCTTTAGACACCCCAACAAACACAAACGGTTTGCATCATCATCTTTCACTACATTTGAACTGTTGAGATGGAATGGGAGGTAAATGTTTAAATTCTATAATAATGGCAACAATTTAACCATCACCATGGGACTTTGAGGCTGACGACAGAATTCAGAAGAAGCTAAACCAAATGGACTCAGTTTAGGGAAGAGGGAAGGTGGCCTTGACTCTGCCGTGGGGATTTTTGGACACTGTGAATGAAAAGTGATTTTTGACCATATTTCACTTATTTGCCAGTTGCTGTGTTGCTTGCGATGAAAGAAAAATAACGCTGTAGAAGATTTGAGCCGTCCCCCCACATTGAGGTGGAATTCAAGTTACAGTAATTCCTTGCTACTTCGTGGTTCTACTTTTGCGGACTCGCACTTTCATGGTTTTTCAACGCAAGATTGTACACGACACACGATTGTCAATTTTAATATTACTCACGACTGGGACGGTACGGGATAAAAAGTTAAATAAAAAATATTTCGGACAGGTGCTGCCATTTTGTAGTTTTCTTTAAATAAACCTATACTGCAACGCCAGTCAAAAGAACTACACTACCCAGAAGAAAACAGTGCTTCTGGCCGCTGCTTTCTACCAAAATGAAGGAAAAATTTTGCAACGCAAAACACTACGCTAACCATTAATGCTCACAGAACTGGCAGGAATGACAAATAATCCTGAAGCTTCCTGAAGCTCAATTATTCACATGCACATGAACCTGGATGGGGCGGTGGGCTTCGTCGCTGCAGGGTAGGTCTGCTGAACCCGAACCGAGCTGCTGTTCTGCAAAGCTGGTGAGTACCCATATAAATTTTGCAGTACTGTACAGTACATATACGTATGCTGTTAAAATGACGTAGGTTTAAGAGTTTAGAACATTGCAAGAGTGTGGGAAGAGTTTATAAAGCCTTAAAATATATTTAAATACTAAAATAAATATAGCGTTACTACTTGGCGGTTTTTCACCTATCACGGTGGTGTGTGCAACGTAACCCCCGCAATAATCGAGGGACTACTGTATATTGAAAACCACCCTGACTGTGTAGACCTGAGTCAAGTGGAACGGAGTCATGGTGAGAGTGGACAATGGAAAACTCCTTTTATGTCTGTAAATATTGGTTGAAATTATCAGAACATGACTGTCTTTAATAATGACTGTGAAATGTATGATTTGCGTATGAATGTTCAGGGACAAACATGAGGCTGAGAAGTTATGAAGATATTATCTATACTAATTGTGAGTCAGCAGCCTGTAACTAATAGTTTTATTTTTTGTACATTATTTCACACTCTTTTTAGGCATACTAATATATACGTAGATCAGGGTTTATGTAAAATGAGCCCATGTCATTTAATTTTCAAGAAACTTAAAATGCATCAATAATTGTTTTCTAATCACATCGCAGCTCTCTGATTCAGAATCAAACAAAAATATGACATGCCCAAAAAGTCCAACCCCTGCTATGAAGTATCAAGAAATTCTTCCTGGATCCTTGAAATTGTTTTCACAATCTTTAAACGGTAAAACATCAACGCTGATTCTCTGACTAAAATGACCCTAGTTTACTGTGTGCGACCAAAAGTAAAGTCTAGATGGAGTATGAACCTTGTACCAGGAGTTCTTGCGCATGTTCAGCCGTCCCATCCACATGTCCGACAGCAGCATCTGTGTGCAGGTGTGAGCCACGAAGGACCGCAGGTGAGAAGAGACGGACAACTTCAAACAGGTGGAGTTGCTCCAATTCTTTAGCTCATAGGTGAGGAGCTTCATGGCCATGGTTTCATCTTGCCTGAAGGACTGCTCCAGAAGGTCCAGTGCTAACGTTCCAAACTCACTGACACACATCACACCAGCAGCGTTAGTTGATATTTTATCAAAACGCAGATCGTTTTCTAAAGCTACAGGAAATAAACTCACTTTGAGTGCTCTTTGAGCTCCTCGGAGGTGTCGTCCACCACGTCGCTCTTCTTGGCCTCGTAGCTCAAGGAGCGGCAGAGTTTACAGGCCACCAGCGCCTTCGCCATGTTCTCCTCTCCGTGCTGCCAGAAGAACAGAGACATTTTCTGCCTCTTCATCAGCACTGCCCACACCAAGAGCTCGTTGAAAGGGTAGGGGAAACGGCGAGTCTCTGGGTCATCGATATCCACGATCTCCTCTTTGCTTTTCTTCTTGTTCTGGTCAGAAGCATTCTCCAGCTAAGAAATAAAAAAGTAGAACAGAAAGGTAAGACGGGGAGCCTTTCTTCTTAAACACCGGCTTCTTATATGCAGAAAGATATCTTCAGTTTAAACGAGGTCTTGTGGGTTTTTGTTGAACAGCGGGAGTTGACCTTGGGTTTGTACGGCTGTGCAGTCTTGATGAAGTGATTGTGCCTCGTCTTCTCCTTCTTATCAGCCTGCATGGTAAACGTCTCGTGACTTTTCCTCAGATGAGAGCCAGGCCCTGCCATGTGACGCCCAGACCTCTATGCAGAACATATAACCATTTTCAGATTCACAAAATCAACTTCCACTGACTTTAAATACAGATCACAGAAGACCTAACAGTAGGTCCACATTTTAATTTATTGCTACAGTTATTAATAATTATCGATAATTGATCAAACTCAACGAAACAAAATAACTTCTCGTACTTTGGAGATCGTTTTAGCACCAGAATCAGCCATTCCTCCCCACTCACCCTGTTGTTGCCATGGAGATTGTTGTAAATGATTCTGAAGCGTTTCCTTGTGTAGTTGCACCTGTAAGTCCCACCCATCAGGTACTCAATGACCAGACCTACATCGATCAAAGTGAGTTTATAGTTTGGAGGAAGATTACTCTGCAACACACAAACGCCAAACATTTAGAAGATTCGAGCTCACATCAGCCGAAGTTATCCTTTACACGAGTACGAATCGGATCGGCTACCTGCTTAACATCTCTAACCAGGTGGAGGAGAGTTGGGTTGTTGGGCGGATGTTTCTGGAACAAAAGTATAACAAAAGAAATAAATAAAACTAATTTCTTCACAGCCCCATACAGTAGCTGGTGCGTGTTGTTACCGTGTTGTACAGCTCCTCCAGACGACTGATTGTCAGAAAACGGTGCATGCTGACGCCGTTTTCTATGAGCAGCTTTACAAAGTCTACCCTGTCCATGACCAGAGCATCCAGCATCGCTTGCTCCAGAGAGCTCACCTAAACACGCACACAAAAAATACCAAACAATCATGGAAGGTTAATTAATGGCAAATTGTTTATGAGACAAACGTGATGAAAAAGACCACAAATACTGCCAACTGAAACGCACACAAAAATCATCCACTCGTGCAGTCCTCCAGTATGAAAATAAACGCAGGCTGCTTATGAGGACAAATGTAAGAGGGGTCATGTTGCAGTCAAGACGAGCGGTTCATGGCAGCTTGCCCGAGGCCAAACCTCGGACTCTTCGTATTTCAAACTGTGGCCAAAGGGAGACTGAAGTTGTTCTGGGTGGGTCTAAAGGTTTTCAGCTGATGACGAGTTAAGCAGCCGTCCCTGGAGTCGTGCGTGGTTCTCACACTCACTCATTCACAAACACAGATAGGTGTACGCACCACAAGCTGCTGCCCGTACACAAACACATGATTCTTGGCAATGTCTACACGATCCCAGGCCAAAGTCAGGACCAGCTGATCGAAGGCAGATGCATTTGTTCCTGAAGTACAGAGGTACAGCAGTGTGTCAAAAGCATGCAAACACATTCACTGACAAGTGAAATCCTATCAACCAAACTTTTCTTGTTAGTGCATTAGAGAACTGATGTTTATATGACATTTGGATGCTTAAACCAAACAGTACAAACATGCATTGGAGGTGTTTTTATGCTTTATACTGGCAGCACCAACCCTTCTAACATCTCAACATTACAATTCTGTTTACATTTTATTTAAGTGGATCATTTTTCCAGACTTCAGTTTTTTGTACACTGGGATCTATTTGAGAACAAGCTGTTTTGCACCAATGTGACAGCGTCGCAGGCATAAAAACGTGCCTGAGTGGGTACATCCGGAACAGGCCGGGGGCTTTGTTCTTTCTGAGTGTCTGAACTGGCTTCTTAGAACCATCGATCATTTGAAATACCTAGTTTTGTCTGTGAACAAGTGGAATGAGGATGAGCAAGTTGTAAAAATGTGACGACGGCTGCTTTTTCCTCTTTAAAGCAAGCGTTGAAATAAAGCAGCTATAGAAAAAAAAATTAAGTGGGCATTGTTTCCTTCATTTATAATTTGAACAAGACAATCTAACTTAGAGGATTTGTTTCTCTAAAAGTGTGAGTCAAGAGGTTAGGTCTGAGACACGAGGCTCAGTGTCTGTTGAAATAAGGACTTCATGTGAATGTGAGCAACATGACCTCAAGAGCAGAAAGAAAAGGGCACACAAGGGGAGTTGTGTTCTCAAAGCATATCTATATCTGAAAGAAAACATTGAAGAACTGGAAATCCTAACCTCCAAATACCAGCAAGTGTAGCTTACGAATAGACTAAATCTAATTTGTGCTATTTGAGCTCTTATTTTCTTTGCTTAAAAGGGTTAGGAGGACATAAAAGTGTTTAGAAGAGATGAACACAAACCTTGGAGCAAGGCTCTCAGAATGGCTACATCAATGTCCTGGTGTTCCTCGGAGCTGATGTGAAACACGGTGATCTGTTTGACAAGAAACAGGAGAGCGCTTTTTATTCAGGTTCCCACAGACAGTTCAGGTTGTTTGACGAGGGCACCAGTTTATATTTCTGCTGCTGTGAGTGTTTGGCCATCATTTGGCGATTAGATTTGATCACTGTAATTCTTTGGTTCTTTTGTCAGTGTCAGCTGAAGTTGTCATTCAAAGGTTTTCAGACCAAGAAGGGAATAATTCAACAGTGGAGAAGGAAAAGGTATGAAACGCAAGCTGGAATTTGCACCAGAATTTGCTTTTCTTCTTAAACTCTATTTACATGTCAAACTCAAAAGCCACGGGCCAAATTCAATTCAATTCAATTCAAAAATACTTTATTAATCCCAGAGGTTGTAGCTAATCATCCTGGTTTCATTCAAGAGTTGTTAGATGCTGATAGCTGTGGGCAGGAAAGACCTCCTGCAGTGAATCTGAAGAATCTGGCCATAGATACCGATCTGTCCACCCAGATCCAGCTTGCTGTCAAATTCAGCGGGCCTCTCGGTCCTCCTGGGCAGCAGGACTGCCCGAATGCTGGGCAGAATTTCTCCCTGAGCGATGGTCACTCCTCCCAGCAGTCTGCCGAGCTCCTCGTCGCCACGGACAAACGGTTGAAAGTGCCAGGGGATGATCCCGGTCTCGGTTGTCACAAGCAGAGTTTCCCACCAGCTCTATGATCTTGGTGGTCAGGTACTCAAGCACCGCCGCCAGGTTGATGGGAATTCATCCACGGCACCTCATTTTCAACTCATTTGGGATTTGAGGTTGTAGTTGAGATATTTGAGCTTTTGAGATGTTAATCAGCTGCTTCTGGTTGTAAAAAAAAAACTGCCTTGTTGCCATGGTTGCGCATCATAAAAAATGCCCAAAAGTTAAAAACGTATCATGTTATGTATCACAACAACAAAAAACATTCAACATGTCCTTTGGAAAGCGTACACCAGTCCTTGACCTCCTCCCCGCAGCGTATGGTTTGTAAGCTTGTGAAAATATTGAAAACTGTGAATCACCCCTAAACTCCATATTTTTCCTAAGCTACACATGAACCCTGCTAACCTGATTTTACTGCAGCACTGCTTCTAAAATGAGAACGTGCCATCATTCATAATGGAAAAATAATAATCTGCAGAGGTTTACCAGTTCTTTGCTCTTCATGCACTCCATCAGAGCCTGAAATAGATGGATGGCATCGCTCTGGCTGAAGTTGAATGTTTTCTTAATGGTTGCGATGATGTCTGTCTCCACTCCATCAGGAAGACCTCTGTGGAATAATTACAGTGAAACCGTTTGAGTCGCACAGTTCAAACACACGCTGCTGTAAAACAATTTACTGGCTGGATTCCGATTCTTCCAGCAGCAGGATGAACTCTCGATCACACCAACTTTTACAAAAAGGTACAAGGTACAAAGTTCTTTATTTGTCATTTGTGCACAGACCAACAATCCAGACCTATTGGAATTATTGTGCAGTCAGTCATAGTTAAAACAATCAACACTAAATAAATAAAATAAAAATGTGTAAAACATTTGCAAAACCTATTTTTATTTTACAGAAAAGAGCGATAAGAATTATCACCAGAAAGCATTATAGTCACCCATCAAGCACATTATTTTATCAACTGAAGTTATTGAAGTTCCATGATTTGGTAGATTATAGTATTTTATCAGTTATGTATAGGGCTCAAAATAACACATTACCATTAAATATCCAAAGAAATTTTGTTAAAAGACAAAGTTGTTATAATCTTAAGGGGATAGAGATATTGGTTAAGAGAGTGATGTTAAAAATGCCAAGTCAATGTGTACATTTAAGAAAAAGATCAAAGCTGGATTGTTAAAAAAATATATATGAAGTAGCTTAGTATGTTTTTTGTATTAGAATTTGAAAAATTAAAAAGAGTTATTCATTTTGTTCTGTTACTTGAACTAATTGTTTGAAAAAAGGGGCAGATATAATAAGATATTTTTCTTCTTTCTGCTGCCTTTCATTTTAAATCTCTTGTATTTTTTTTATATTGTTATGGAATTGTTTTGTATTTTTTTAAATTAATAAACTTTATACCATATCATACCATACCAAAATAAGAATAAAATTATTTATATCTACACTTTACAGAAAGCAGGCAACATCTACACCTTCCCATGTCACATGACCAGTGAAGTTAGGTAAAGTGGGTTATTCAGGGATCAGTAGTTTTGTTTTGCAATCAGTCTGACTGTGGTAGGGAAAAAACTATTAAAACACCTTGTACCAAGGGTGATGATGTCGTCTGCTCTACTGTATCTCAGGTTATACCACCGTTCTTTGTGTCTGATAAAAGAGTGAGCTGGATGAAGTGTCCTTCATGATTCCATCTGCTCTTCTTCAACAGCGCTGTACATACATCAAGTCCATGGAAGGAAGTTTGGTCCCTGTGATCCTCCCCCAGTCTTTATGACTCTTTGCAGTGCCTTCCTTTCTGCTTGTGTAGTGTTCCCATACCAGACAGTGATGCCTGTGGTTAGGACGCTCTCTATCAGTCCTCTTTATGCCTGGATGAGAGTGTCCTGGTGCAGACGCACTTTCCTGAGCATCCTAATGAAGTAAAGCCTTTGCTGGGCTTTTTCCACTGTAGCTGTGGTGTTGAGAGACCAGCTCAGGTCCGATGTAACCTGCAGTCCCAAGAATCTATGGCTGTCAGCCCTCCCAATCTCAGTCCCTTTAATGATGAGAGGCTATAGTTGGGGAGGGTTCTTCCTGAGGTCCAATATGATTTATTTTGTCTCATCTGTAGAGGATGAGGTCGTTCTTCTTTCCATATGTTATAAAGTTGTCTACCAGACTCCTGTACCCTGACTGGTTCCCCTCCTGGATGAGCTCCATAGTGGTGTTGCCAGCATATTTAATAACAATGGTGTTGTGCTGGGAGGGGAGACAGTCCTAAGTCTTTGTACAGGGTGAAGAGTTTGGGGTTGAGGCAACAGTCTTGCAGGGATCCTGTGCTGACTGAGTTCAGATACCCGTCCTCCCATTCTCACCTCCTGTGGTCTAGCTGTCAGGAAGCCCATGCACATTTTGGACTGAGAACACAGATGGTTTGAGAGGGGGGTGAAGGAAGCAATTTATGTAAAAAGAGAAAAGCCGTCTCTTAACAGAGGAGGAGGCCTCAGATTTCCACTTTCAAAAACATATAATGCAACTTTAAAACAGATTCCCAGCCGGTTTTCACACCTGATGGAAACAGAGGGGCCTCGTCTGTGAATTAGAGGAACAAAAGACTCACTGTTAAGGTGTTTAGGTGTGAATTGCCAATCTACATATGTGTGTGTGTCTTATCTCACTCAGCCTTATAACCTGAATCTCTCACTCTCTGCTCTTTGAATTGAGAAAGCTCCTCGGATGAGGAGCGAAACATCTTCTGTTACAAATAAAGTCCAGTTGTTTTTGTATTGAATGCTTTTTGAATTCATGATCCAGTTACAGGTAGGAGTCGAGATGCCAAGGTCTGTCAGCATCTCTACTGTTTTGCCCAGGCGGATGGTATTGAAAGCCAAACTGTAGTTCAGGAAGAGCATCCAGGCATCATAAGTTTTGCTGCTTTCTAAGTGTTGCAAGGTGTGGTGTATGGTTATTGCTATCACATCATCCAACGAGCAATTAGGGCAGAAGGCAAACTGGAGGGTTCGGCATTATCTGGGACTTTGCAGTTGTGCTTAAGAACCAGATGTTAAGGGTGAATGTGTCTGGACTTTTGGGAACTGGTATGATGATGCTGGATTTGAAAATACAAGGGACTACTGCCTGGGACAATGACAGGTTGAAGATGTCAGCATGTACTCCAGCTAGTTGTTCACCACAGGCCTTCAGAACTCTGGAGGTTCAACGTCTTCAGAGCTTTCAGGACCTGTGTGTGTGTCACCTAGAAGGCAGAATACACAGGGTCACAGGGGGCCCCCTTGAGGGTGTGTCTGTGTTCAACCTGTCAAACCTGGTAAAGAAGGTGTTAAGATTGTCTGGAAGGGTGACATCTCAGGGATCTGTGGTTGTCGTGGTTCTCCTATAGCTTGTGACGGATTGAATTCCCTGCCAAACGCTGTGTGTGTTTTGGTTCAGGTAGTAGCCTTCAAGCTTTTCTCAGTGAGCCCTTTTTGTTGCTCTGATGGACTACTACATGGACATGGATACTCCACTTGATCTCTTGACTTGAAGGCCTCCCTCTGCTTCCTGATTTTCTGTTTCACCTCCCATTTAAACCAGGGTTTTTGTTGGGGAACATTCACACAGTGCTGGGAGGGGCACACATGGACATACACCAGCTTATATCGTCACTCAGTCTCTGCATATTCAAGGATATTGTTTGCAGCCTCTTTGAAGGTGCTCCAATCTGTGGCCCCCAAGCAGCCCTGCAAGCTTGTGCACCATCAGTCCAGGTGTTAACGGTCTTGACTGTGTCTTGAGCCTTATGATGTAAATTGGTTTAAGCTGGATTGGTAAATCTGACCAAGTCACCAGGCAAAGTAAAGCTTTGGTTCAGCTGAGAAGGCATCCCTGATGTTGCTGTAGCAGTGATCCAGTAATTTATTTCCCCTGGTGGGGAAGGTCACAAACTGATGCAGTTTAGGGATTTTTTTTTTCCAGACGATTGCAGTGGTTAAAATCTCCCAGAATAACCAGCAAATCCACAGATTTGCCACAGATCTGACTTTTCTCATCATCAAGTGCTACATTGTGTACTGTACGATTGTTTAAACTACACAAACATTATAACAAAAGTGCACGCAGAACACAGAGACTCTTTATTTCAAGGAGATCTCAGAGCTCTCCCCTGGTGTTGATGGATATAAAAGATAGCAACAGCCAACTTGTCACCACAAGACCTGAAAATGTTGAATCCAGGTGTGTTGTTGCTCAAGAATGAGTTCAAGGAACTACAGCTTTTCTTTCTAGGAAAACCTAACAAAGGCCCAAGAATTATGTTTGAAACTAAAATGACCATTAATTATTTTGTATAAAATCTACATCACGGCTGACTCATTCCCAGCCAGATCAATTTATAAGACATGAACTCCTCTGAACACTATCTTTTATATATTAAAAATATATTAAAACAGCCATCATTCTGATGCTCTTGTTGACAGATTAGATTTGAACTCCTGAGAAGGTTTTCTGTTCTGTTTTGTTAAGAGAACAGAAACAGTCCCACAGTTTCCACTCTCGCGTGCTTCAGCCGATGCATGTGAGGTGCAGAGCAGTGGAAAAGTCTTGAGCCACACCTTAATTCTGTAAATTTTGTTCCAAGAAGTCAAACTTTGTTTTATTCTCTGAAAAATTTGTTGCAGGCTTGGAGGTCTTTCAAACTTTTCCTTTGAACATTAGCATGTTCTTAACTCGTCTCCTAACCAAAATGTGAGCTTTTCTTTTCTTTTCTTTTCGGCGAACAGTGTTGCCCTGATAAGTTGGAAAACTGGACAAGTGAAGGAATAATGTAGAAATAGTAGGCATTAAAGCTCATGTTCTTAAAATACAAAAATGGCTTTCAGTGTTGTAAAATATATTTTGCATAAAAGTATGGAAGCAATAGATGTCACCACAGAAGACATTTATTTGACACATTGCTCTGTATTCAGATGTCAAACTTCATTGTAGAATCATAAACACAGACCTGCCGATACTGAAAGATATATATGCCCGAGGATATGTTTTTATTTCCAAACTGCTGTTGCCACGCCTCACATTCCTGCCTTTTCTCCAACGCGTTTTTTTTTTTTGTCGTTTCACCCAATAAAAGCTCCTTTGATTACATGTTTGGGATTTCTCCAGAGCAGCTCCTATATTTCACATTATGAGGTCAACTTCAGGCATTTGACTAAATTAGCCAGTTCATATCAAAGCCCAACAGATTAAACTGCTAATCTAATCTTTTTATCAATCTATAAAGATAAGACACCGTTATGAACTTTAATTTGGTCGACAAGTACAATAAAAACTGAAAGTACATTTTCAGTTCCAGTCTCTGTGCTGCTGGGTTCCTAAAGCTTCATCTGAAACAGAATGAGGGCCAGAAAGCAAACACAGCAGCCATCAAATAAGTTTAAAAGAAAGTGATTGGGTTTTTATCTTGCCTATAATAGTTCAGTGAATATTTGATTGTAAAAAAAGACAGTTTTATTATTATGAATCTCATCTTGACAGCTATTTTTACTCACATCTAACAGTTTAATATACTGTAACCTCCTGGGCTCTGCAGGCACTTTGATTATTGTTACAGTCGTCCCTCGCTACTTCGCAGTTCAACTTTCGCGGGCTTGCTCCATTGTGGTTTATCAAAGTAAGATTTAACAAGAAAAAAAATTGTACAGGACACACGATTGTCAACTTAAATATTACTCACATGATTGGGACAGTACTGGATACTGTACTGTACAGTAAAATGTTCACGAAAAAAAATTCAAAAAGGCGCTGCCATTTTGTAGTTTTCTCTCAATAAACCTATACTGTATTGCTGCTCATAAGGACGAAATTTCCCAGAAGTCAACAGTGCCCCGCCCAGAAGCCCCGATTCCTTCTGCTGAAATACAAAAGGGAAAGTTTTGATCTGATCGGAAAAGTCTGGCACTTATTACAGTGACTTCGGCACCCAGTGGATGTAGAGCCCCATGGAACCCACCGAACCAAAGCAGAATCAGACCTCCAGACCCATCTGTGAATCTTGAGAGCTGGTAGCTGGCCCACGAGGACCTTGGAGTGGGGACGCGCTGATAAGTAAAATTTATCCATTCATCCACTTCTGCTTATCTGGGTCGGGTTGCGGGGGTAGCAGCCTAAGTAGGGAGGCCCAGACTTCCCTCTCCCCAGCCACTTGGGCCAGCTCTTCCGGGGGAATCCCGAGGCGTTCCCAGGCCAGCCGAGAAACATAGTCCCTCCAGCGTGTCCTGGGTCTGCCTCTGGGCCTCCTTCCGGTGGGACGTGTACGGAACACCTCACCAGGGAGGCGTCCAGGAGGCATCCTAAACAGATGCCCAAGCCACCTCAATTGGCTCCTCTCGACATGGAGAAGCAGCGGCTCTACTCTGAGTCCCTCCCGGATGATCGAGCTTCTCACCCTATCTCTAATGGAGAGCCCAGACACCCTGCGGAGAAAACTCATTTTGGCCGCTTGTATCCGAGATCTCGTTCTTTCGGTCACAACCCAAAGCTCGTGACCATAGAAGAGGGTAGGACCTCCTCCCTGACCCAGAAAGGGCACTCTACCCTTTTCCGGCTCAAGACCATGGCCTTGGATTTGGAGGAACTGATCTTCATCCCGGCCGCATCGCATTCGGCTGCGAACCGCTCCAGCAAAAGCTGTAGATCACGATCTGATGAAGCCAATAAGACCGCATCATCTGCAAAAAGCAGAGACGCAATCCTAAGGCCACCAAAACAGATCCCCTCAACACCTTGGCTGCGCCTAGAAATTATGTCCATAAAAGTTATGAACAGAATTGGTGACAAAGGGCAACCTTGGCAGAGTCCAACTCTCACTGGGAACAAACCCGACTTACTGCCGGCGATGCGGACCAGGCTCTGACACCGGTCATACAGGGGTCTAACAGCCCGTATCAAAGGGCCCGGTACACCATACTCTCAAAGTATCCCCCACAGGGTTCCCCGAGGGACGCGGTCGAACGCCTTCTCCAAGTCCACAAAGCACATGTAGACTGGTTGGGCAAACTCCCACACACCCTCTAGGACCCTGCTGAGAGTGTAGAGCTGGTCCAGTGTTCCACGGCCAGGACGAAAACCGCACTGCTCTTCCTGAATCCAAGGTTCGACTATCCGACGGACCCTCCTCTCCAGAACCCCCGAATAGACCTTACCAGGGAGGCTTAAGAGCGTGATTCCCCTGTAGTTGGAACACACTCTACGGTCCCCCTTTTTGAATGGGGGGACCACCACCCCGGTCTGCCAATGTCCACGCAATATTGCAGAGTCGCGTAAGCCAACACAACCCTACAACGTCCAGAGCCTTAAGGAACTCCGGGCGAATCTCATCCACCCCTGGGGCCCTGCCACCGAGGAGCTTTTTAACCACCTCAGTGACCTCAGCACCAGAGATTGGAGGGCCCGACCCAGAGTCCCCAGGCTCCGCTTCCTCAGTGGAAGACGTGCCGGTGGGATTGAGGAGGTCTTCAAAGTATTCCGCCCACCGACCCACAACATCCCGAGTTGAGGTCAGCAGCACACCACTCCCACTATAAACAGTGTTGGTGGCGTACCGCTTCCACCCCCCCCCCGAGACGCTGGATGGTGGACCAGAATCGCCTCAAAGCCGTGCGGAAGTAATTCTCCATGGCCTTTCCAAACTCCTCCCATGCCCAAGTTTTTGCCTCAGCGACCATCCGAGCCGCATGGACTGCCAGTACCAATCAGTTGCTTCCGGGGTCCCACAGGCTAAAAAGGCCCGATAGGACTCCTTCAGCCTGACAGCATCCCTCACCGATGGTAGTAAAATTTAGTAGCTACATATAATTATGTTGTTAAAATTAGTAGGTTTATGAGTTTAGAACATTGATTGTGGGCTTCATTGTTGCAGGGTACGTATGCAGAAATGGATCCGAGTCGGACCGGAACAGAGTCGGACCGGAACCGAGCCACTGCTGTTCTGCAGAGCTGGTGAGTAAAATTTAGTAGCTACATATACAGTACTGTACATATGTTGTTAAAATGACATAGGTTTAAGAGTTTAAAGCATTGCAAGAGTGTGGGAAGGGTTTCTAAAGCCTTAATATATATATATATATATATATAAATACTAAAATAAATATAACGTCACTACTTCACGGATTTTCTCGAATGGGGGGTGGGGGTGTCTGGAACCTAACTAGCAAAAAAAGAGAGACTACTGAATATCCTTTTTGTTCTAGTTTTACCACTCTATCATCTATTCATTATCCCCTGAAGGTTTCACTGGTATTTAAAATATTTACCTTTTCTTCTTCATTAGTTTTCTGCATGTATTTAATCTTACCCTCCTTCCTCTGTCTGCTTGTGGACGTAGGCCAATATGTCAGCAGCACGGCCGGTCCCCTCACACACCACCACTGGGACAGGAGGGCTCTCCTGAAGGTACTCCAGGACAGTCAGGATCACGTTGGGACCACCCTCCAAGATAAGTGCCACAACAGGAACACCCTGACCAATTCCTAGAAGCACAAAAGGAAAATGAACTGCGTTTATACGGAGCTTTTCAAGCCTTGATAACTCGGAAATTTTTAAACTACGAGCTGCAGTCGAACACTGGCTGCTTTCAAATTTAAGTTTATGTCAGCCTTTTCTCTCTTCAGCTACTATCTTGTAAAAACAGCTGCACATTATTGAACATGTGAGAGAGGTTGGAGTGATAATACTAATCTCGCTGCTATCACACACATTCCACCAAGCAGACACAAACTGCTAGGAAAACGAACGATAATTAATCGTCCTTGTGGTTGTTTCAACCTTCATGCTCACGGGTACTGGTGAATTTTTAATATCTCAGAGAAGCTGGGCGACGCTTTTGAGAGCTTAATGTTTTTTCTTACGTGCGTGTATTCTCTGTAGGTTGATGTGTTTTTCCAGGTCTCGCCTCAGTTTCACTTCGGCTCCGTACCTGCCCACCGTCCCGTCATCCACCAGGAGGAAATGAGAGTGCAGATTGTTGAGGACGTTTAGTTTGCTGAGGGGATTCAACAGAGTCTGATACGGAGCTGTAATCTGCATTCGGGAAGCAGGAAGACGTGAAAAAGTAATGAAGGAGAAACATGTAAGGAACACAGCTTATCACAAATGTGTTTAATTAGAGAAAAATTAAGCAGGATTACTTGCACTACTTAAAACTTTCTTACGTCTCTGCCAATAAGATCGTTCCTGTTTTCAATGATGCCCCACGGTGCGATGCCAATAGTGAAAATTTTCTTGGATGATCTTGAACAGTGCTCTTTGAGAGCGTCTCCTACGTGCTTTGCCACACCTTTGGGACAAATGTAAAACAAAAATAAATAAATTGCTTCAATCAGTACATTTATCATAACGGTCTTACAATGGTTCTATATCCAAAAACAATAAAAACTGAAGTGTGTGGCTGCGTGCAAAGACCACATCACTGCAGCCTTTGACCAAAGTGCCACCAGTAAGCCAAGTCCACAACAAGACCTGAAGCCGTTTATGGGCCGCAGTCCTCAGCTAATGGATCTCATGGATTCAGCAGTTATTTGTGAGGCAGGAGACCATCCCAGCTGGCCAGGGTGCCAATGAGGCATTAAAAGTAATCACTGGTCGAGGTAATTGACCTTGTGAGTAATAACTTAAACACTATGATCACATCGCAGCATCTTAAGGCCGTGCTGCGGCTGCAGACACGGCTCAGCTCTGTTCACAGCCAAATGACATGCTTAGAGGCCAGTCTTACAGGTTCTGCTGCATCAGCACATCATCCTCATGGTTCTGAACTTCACATACCGTGTCAGTGTTTATTTACAGTCAACATCTAATGTTATTCATACCAGGGCAGGGCTTTACTGCTATAATTACTTCTATTTTATAGTAACTGTTCAAGGGTACTTTGAAAAAACTGATTACACTTAATTTTTTTTAAAATCTTAGATCATAAAACTTACATTTAATTTAAAAAAATCTAGTTAAAACTATAATTACGACGGAGCTTTAGAGCCACACTAAGAAAAAAAATTAAAAGCCATAAAATTACGAGAATAAAGTTGAATAAAGTCTTAATAAGCTAAATGAGTCGTAATATTATTCTAATTCCTACATGATAAAGCAGGGTTTACTACATTTTATCTGCCGAACGACCAAACCGAACTGCGCACCCTCCCCTCCACCTGTCGGTACTGGTGTAACGCTAATTAGTTGTGCGCAATACTAGCTAGCTAAAAAGCTACAAACAAACAACGCGCGGCTCGGCTGTCTCTCCATCCAGCTCTAAACTGCAGGTACAGACAACTCAACTGTCTCTCAACTTTACTAAATAAAGTAATTTCAGTAAAATTAACCCTTGTTATTTTTTTGTTTTTATATAATACTGCAAAGCAGCATGTTAAGTTAATTTTGTCAAATGAATAACTATGATTTCTGGGTTTTTTTTTGTTATGTCACAAAATGTATCGTTATCGCCAGAATGCTCTGAAATATCATTATATAATATTTGAGCCATATCGCCCACTCCTAGGCTGCAGCGCAGCTCTCTGCAGGTAAGGAGCATTTAGCTTTGGATTGGTCATTTGCTGACACGTCTACTGGACTGATTGACAGGTCGTGTTGTGTCGTGGATCTGACTCGTGGAAAAAAAAAAAAATAAAAAAGAGCAGAAAAAAAAAAAAAAGTATCGTACGACTTTATTCTTGTTGACTTTATTCAACTTTATTCTCGTACTTTTATGGCTTTTAATTTTTTTCTTAGCATGGCCCTAAAGCTCCATCGTAATATTCGTTAGCTTAACTCTGATTCAAAAATGGGGTTAGTTTGGGTAAAGAAGCGCCACTTGTGGGTAATGATCACACAAGACTTCCAAAGCCCAGCAGAACCACAGCGACTGCAGAGAAACGGCACTTTCCACAAGACAGCAAACGTAACATGTTCCTTTCCTACATGCCTGTGTTGACCCCTCCGGTGAGAATCCAGGCCCCTGTGGTGACTGCAGCTTTTATGAGGCCCTTGCCCACCACCTGCTTGATGTGCGGGTGCAGCTCAAAGTTCTGAACTCCTCCGTGGACAGAGATGAGGATCTTGGGAAGCTCCATGTGCCACTCCTTCAGCATCAGCCGCAGGATGCTCTCTGGCCGAGTGTCATAGGACAAACGCACATACTGTCCCAAAATAAATTAATTAATTAAACCGTCACATGAACACATGAAGAGGAAAGCAGCATCCTGTAAAATGTAGCTTCTTAATGTATTCCATTACCCATGATGCAGTGAGTGTTAAGTGAACTGTACTAAACAAACTATGTGGGTGAAGAATAAAGTGATCATGGTTTCTAGCAGCAGAGCATTGACTCTTGTACCTTAGCTTTGTACGAGTGAGACCCTCCCTGGAAGTTGATGACGCCATAGGCATCAGTCGGGCTCGCTTCTGTGTGTTTTTCCACAGACCACTCCTCCAGAGTGGGCACGTTGGAGCTTCTAGCCAACTTCACATCCGAGTACTTTGTGGCCAAGCTGGCTGTGAAGCCCGCATGCTGCCGCACCAGCCGGCCACAGCAGCACCTACAGGATACAAGAGAAATATAATTGCCTGTTGATGTAATAAAATAACGCTCCAAAAAACATGTTCAGTATAGTTTATCAAAACCACAACCAAAACAGATCAGTATCTGCAGGTTTTCCCCAGAACTGTTGAATTTAGCAGACATTTAAATCAACAATATGAAAAACATGCAGGATTACTCAAATAACATCTAATCAGAGTATTTGAAGCTCACTATTTGTTGTCCATTTCTTTGAGCTTTTTTTTTTTTTTTTTACATTTTATAATGGAATAAAGGAATGAGATATAGTTTATTAAAAAATCAGCAAGCAACTTTTTCATTTAGAACAAATACATTAAAATAGTGAAGAAAAATGAACAGTTTGAAGTAAAACCTTTTTTAATTGTTCGACAAAAGTAGAAAATATTCTGTAGAATCTAGTATTTTATTAATATAACCTAAAATAATGAAGACACCAGGCTTATTGGTTTTACCACCTCTTACTGGCTTTTTAAAGAGCAATATGGCACACAAAGCAAAAATTATAAAAGTTTTGTTTTTCTGAGGATCTAAGATTTCAAAGAATTTGTTGAGCTTTGTCGTTTCTAGTGTAAAACAGGTTTCTCCAGGGTAACAAGTTAATCCAGGAGGGTGAAAAGAACAGAGCATAACAAGGATTAAAGAAACACTTACCGGACCAGCTGTTGGCAAATCTTGCATCCTGGAAGGCATCTGGAAGGTAAATTTACATCAATATGATCACAGACGTGATTTTAAAATCAGTTGACACTATAAAAAGGTGTGTTTTGTAACAATCCAGTTAGGATGAAGCTTTAGCTGACAGTAAGGCTGCTGGAGGACACAGAGGCAGGTTATCAGTCAGAGGGGCACACAGCGCGGGTCGACTGGCCTTGGAGCTATGAAACCTGCCAAAAAACACTCTTCAGTCTCATCTAGGCCTTTGACCCAATAATTAACTAGAGAAATTACATTTCCTGCGAAAATGTAGTGTGAATGCTTATTACTGCAGAACTTGATGAAAAACAGCTGAAATGTATCAGAAATGGAAGAACTAGTCTAAGTTAACAGAAAAAAGCAGAAAGAACACATATTTGCTGAATTAGGTTTAATTGTGCAGAAATGAGCACAAAATTTAGGAAATTTGCTAAAAAAGCTGAAATTAACAAAGAATTGCTAAAAAAGTAGCTGAAAATGCAGAAAGAAGCTTAAACTACAAGAAGGAAGTGGAAGGAGCTGAAATGAGCTATTAAAAATTTGGAATTAGCTGAAAAGCTACATTTAGAACAAAACAGCTAAAAAGTAGCTGAAAATGCAGACAAAAAATTTGAACGGATCAAAACAAGCTGAAATTACCATGAAAAACTTGAATTTATGTGAAAACAGAAAAAAAATGCTAAAAGTAGCTGAAAAGGTAGAACAAGCTTAAATTAGCAGAAGAAAGCAGAAAGGACACAATTAGACTGAAAGAAGCTGAAATGAGCACAAAAAAGTGGAAATTATCTTAAAAAAAATAAATAAATAAAAAAAAGCTACAATTAGCAACAAACAGCATAAAAGTAGCTAAAATCAGAAAGAAGCTTAAACTGCCAGAAGGGAGTGGAATACACACCATTTTAGCTGAATTAGGTTGACAAAAGTTGAAATGAGTGCAACAAAATGTGAAAAAGCTAAAATTAGCATTAAAACAGCTAAATAGTAGCTGAAATATCAGCAAAAGCCAAAACTTGCAGAAATCAGCTGAAAGGAGCGTAACAAGCTGAAATTACCAAAAAGAAATTGGAAGAAGCGCAAAAATTTTGCATTTAGCAGAAATAATATGAAAGGAGCACAAAACAGCTGAAAAACAGCTGAAATTAGCTAAAAAAGAAAGGTGTAAAATTTGCTCAAGCTGAAAGAAACTGGGACAAAATGTGAAAGGAGCGGTAAAAGGTTGTAAACAGATCTAAAGATGTGAAGGATGTAAAATGAGCTCAATTCATTTTATATGAGAAAAAAGTGGCAGAAAAGGCTAAATATTTCAAAAGGCTAAAGTTGCACCAATACCAAAAGTCACAGCAGGATTGTCCTGAAAGGGCTGAATGTTTTGATATATGACTTGTTGAAATAGCTTGAAAACTGTGGAACGAGAAAGATGCAAAAAATGTACAGAAAAAAATGGATCACAATAGTGTGAGTGGCTCATAAGCAGGTTAGGCTCACGTACAACTGAAAACCATCAGGGAGCAGCAGCACGTACAGGAGCGTGCGGAGAAAAGCCAGTGGAAAATAATTAATACAAATGAAAACAAAGAAGCCATCCACTTTGACTGTGTGTCAAGAAATGGAAACAAAGGCATCCAAATTAGTTGAAATGTAACAGAAATAGCTCACAGACAAACCAGGCTGTTAAACAGTACATCCACAAAGTTGTAGGAAAATGCTACTTATAAAAGGTTTTTTTTTGTTTTTTTTTTACAGATTACATTTTCAGGTTTCAGAAAAGATGAGCAGCTTACTGTACTTTAAGCTCTCTGTGAGCACTTCTAATACACTCCACGTAGTCTGCTGATAACTTGTCCACACAAGCCATAAAAAAGCCCCCCCATTAAATTCTGACACGGCTTTGTAACATTCCTGTGCATTCGCAGAAAAACTCCAGACTTTAAAGACTTAAAGCAGAAAATGAATGCGGAAGAAAAATGGGATTCGTGACTCAAAAAAAAAAATTTCTAAATGTATATAAACCTTGAAATAATTTTTCAAAGGTATTTGAAGTAAATGATAGGCAGGCTCATGACTATAGTGTTGGTGAAAATATGCAATTATGGAGACAGACATAAACATTAAAACAGACTCATTCACCCTTTGGAGAGCTGTGGTTAGAATTGGGGCCAGCTTTGACACACACCTTGCAATTACTTTGTTTCCATGGCTATCAACAAAGGACATGTGGTGTGGTTGGAGAACATACCTGTGGGGGTCCTTTGACGCTGGAAGTATGTACACACATTCCCTCTTGGTGAAAGTGCTTTCTATCCAGGGTTTCTGGGACTGAAGAAGACAAAACGACAACAAGGTTGTGAGTTATGGAGAAAAATCTTCCCGTCTTTGAAATGAACTTCTTATTGTGTTTGAATTCAAATGCTTTCATTTGCAGTTCAAGTTAAAAGTCACTTGAGGTTCGAAAACATTGCTTTAAGATTAGTTTTTAGGCTTTCGCTGACATTTGTCAAATCTCATTTCACTAGACCAGTGATTCTCAAACTGGGGCCCCTGGACGCCCAAGGTTAAGTCCGCGAGCCAGTGCTTGGGGGTCCGGAAAAAAACAACAACATATATTATAAATATATACCTGTAAAAATACATCAAAATGCAGGAAATCACTTTTACTTTATTCAAAATTTTCTGGGGAAGGCACGGTGGCACAACTGGTAGAGCTGCTGCCTCTCAGCGAGCAGGTCCCTCGATCAAATCCTGGTCCGGGGACCTTTCTGGGTGGAGTTTGCATGTTCTCTTCATACATGCGTGGGTTTTCTCCGGGTACTCCGGTTTCCTCCCACAGACCAAAAACATGCATGTTAGGTTGATTGGTAACTCTAAATTGTCCCTAGGTTTGAGTGCGAGAGAGAATGGTTGTTTGTCTCGTTTGTCTCTATGTGGCCCTGTGATGGACTTGTGACCTGTCCAGGGTGTCCCCCACCCCTCGCAGAGTGATTGCTGGACATGGGCACCGGTGACCCCCGTGACCCAAAATGGAAGAAGCGGGTAAAAGATAATGGATGGATTGACCCAAAGACACGCCCCCTCCTGGCCCGCCCACTATTTGCATTCCGGCATTGATCAGTTTACAGATTAAACCGTTACTTGGAATGACTACTGCTGTTACAATTCTGTTCAGTTTTATGTAAAAAGTTTTCTGTAGTAATCTGAAGAAGTGATGTTACATTTATTATGTTCATTATGTGAATAGGTAAAGTTTTAAAGTGTTTTTTTGATACAGTTAATTTCTCAAAGCTGTAATTTTTGGAAGTTGAAATTACAAAGTGTCTTAATTAAGTGTGTCGTGAATGAAAAATACTCCAGGTTTAAAAGTATAAAAATTGTATTAACACTATTACAGAACAGGTCTTGCGTATATATGTTACACAAATATTTCCACTGCATTAAAGAGACAAATTGAAGAAAATTATTTAATAAACATGAGGGTTATGAGGGGGTCCCTGAACCCAAAAAGTTTGAGAACCTCTGCAATAGACTGGGGGGTAAACAATATAAGCACAAATGTGGGTTTAACTGTATGTTTAACACATTTCCACCAGTGCTCTGGAGAGCCAAAGATCACAGGGAATAAACAACTGTGTGCTACTTAATCCAGGTTTTAGACAAAAAAAAAAAAAAGATTGGTTTTATTGAATTGTTTGAATAAATTAAACAAAAAGAACTGGAGTTTAAGTAGCAAAACATACTGTTGCTTTAAATTGTAATAACAGAAAACTTATCCTATAAAAATCGCCTTTTTGTGCGTGTTGTTTTTAAGTTACGAGAATTTTTAATTAATTCCTCGTGTTTTATTCTTCCTTTAGCACAGCTCGGAGAAAGCCAGGGGTGATTAGCACCATTAATCCTTCCCAGCACAAAGAGAGGAAGTCTGCCAACACAATCACCTGCTTTACACCGAATCACCTCAACAATTCCTGAAACTTCACCAACAGCATGACAGCAACATATGACCCTCACAGCCAGCACAGTTTCATAACAGAACCAAAACATTAGCATAGAGAAACAATTCATTTGGTTTTCCTCACTGATGAAAGTTTCACGTTTTAAGTCATGAGCGTCACATTTGAGCTAGTACCAGACTTTAAATTGAATTAATACAATCAGCAGCGTGCTGAAGCATTAAGAACCGGCCCCAACCCACATCTTGACCGATGACACCGAGCTGCGGACTGTGTACCTGGTTGAACTCCTCTTCATCTCTGTGTTTAAGGGCTTTGTACAGGAACATACCAAGGATCCTTCATGCATCTCTTGGACAAACCGCGGCCGCCGCAGCCTCCCCTGAGCCCTGGCTCATCAGCAACACTTTCCCCTAGTTCCCCTGAAGATCTGCGCCCAGTTCCTGTTTGGGTCTCTAAGTCTACTGGGTTAGCGTGCAGATCCGTCCCGAGTTAAAAGCTGAGTGATCAGTGAGAGGCTGCTGCCTCCGACTCCATCCACTGTTAATCTGTAAGACGCCTCTCAGGGGGCAGATGAATGTGTCTGAGACAAACTAGATATTATACTAAAGCTGGGGAGAAAGAGGCGAGAGAAGAGGGGGTGTGGGAGCAGATTAGTGGGTAGGCCGAGGCCTGGGTGAAATACACCTTGCTGTCTACTGCTGACACACCACCTGCTGTGATTCATGCACAAACCTCTGAACAACTCAGGGCCTCTGTAGAAGTCCTCAACTCATTATCCAGAAAATAATCATTCTGAAAATATACCACAAATAAATGTTAAAAACCACTGAAGTCGAGCAATGGAGCTGGAAATTCATCTACCGGTAGTTTGACACTTTTATTTACTGGCTGGAACCGTATAAAGAGACATGTTCTTCATCACAGTGCCAATATTTTACTCGTGTTCTTGAGTGTTAAGAATTTATTAGTGATGGTGAATGAAGAGGTAGCTTTTCAAATCTATATGCCTCACATCTACTCAATCAGTTAAAAAACTGAAAATAAAAGTTTACAAACAATAAATGTTAAACCTAGCGCTGGACGATATGGCCAAAACTTTTATCACAATACATTTCTTAATTTTGGTCTATAACGATATAATTCCGATATCGATATAAACAATATAAAAGCCTCAGAAAAACTGTACAAACTGCACAAATAAATTTATGTTCACCTTTTATTTGTATTTAGCCTTCAAAGAAATTTGAAATCACCGTCAAATAAACATAAAACTCTCAACTTTGTCAATATTAATAATTTTAACTTTAAACGACAACAAACGTCTGTTTGAAATGTTGTTTGTTGAAACGGCTTCAACCCGAACAGAAAAAGAAATATGTCAGTGAAACTCTATAATCCAAGCATAATGTATATCGAAATATCGAAAATGTGCTTAAAACTCATATCACTGTTATTGAATAAAATTATATTGTGATGTACATCAATATCGAATTATTGTCCAGCCCTAGTTAAACCCTGTGTTTTTCAGTTGAGGCGGCTGTCTAAATTGAAGCCCATACTACCTAAAACTAACCTTGAGCCAGTAATACACGCTTTCTTAACAATCAGGCTCGATTACTACGATGTGCTTCTTCAGTCAGACCTCCATTGCACGTTAACAACCGGCCCAAAATGCTGCAGCCTGATTTTTAACTGGTACATGCAAAAGAGAGCACGTTACACCAGTTCTGGCCTCCCTTCGCTGGCTCCGAACCACTTCTGAAATCATTTAAAAATCCTTCTGTGTGTTTTCAAATTTCTGAACAGTCCTGCCCCCTCTCATCTCGCTGATCTGCTGCAGCCATATGTCCCACAGCGCTGTCTGAGGTCAGCAGACCCGATGCTTTTATTGGTTCCAGGCACTCGTTTTAAGCTCTGAGGTGACAGAGCCTTCCCTGTTGCAGGTCCAAGACTGTGGAATGAGTTACCACTACATGTCAGACAGGCTCCCTCTCTCACTGTTTTTAAGTCTTATTTGAAAATTCACTTTTATTCCCTGGCTTCTGATGCTGTGCGAGTTGATTTTACCTTGTCTGAATTCTATAATGTTCGCCATTTAGTTCTTGTATTTATCTATTTGGAGCTATGTATTTTATGCTGCAGGCTTTGCTTCTGTTTTTGCTGTACAGCACTTTGGTTGGCCTTGCTGTTGTTTTAAGTGCTTTATAAAATCAAGTGGTATATGTGAAAAAAAAAAAAAAATCCAACATGTACTTCACTGCAACCCAACAATAAACCTGCAAAGTTTTGAAGTCAGGCCATCAGTCGTCAAGAAATCAGAGCCTGGACATTAATTTAACCACCTGCTGAATAAAGAGACAAATATAAAATGCATCCTTGGAGCTAAGAGAGCTCTTTCAGAATAGTTTAACTGAAAACCAGTTTTGTTAAATTAAATACAAGCTATGAAAGTGTTAAAAGAGAGATAAAGCAGGACTGTGTGCTGCTGCCCTGTAACTATGGTACCTGAGAATGTCAGGCAACAAAAGACTTTAAAAGCATAAGCACGCACACACACACACACACACACACATTTCCTTACACCTACCCTTTTCCTCTCTGGCTTGTCCTTCCCTGTGCTAAAAGTTTTAATTAGTGCAGAAAGTATAACCTGGAAACTTTAGTCTCTTTCAGTCCCTGATATTACAAAATGTATTCATTGGCCACCATGAAAACTGATGCATGCACACTGAAGGGCATAAGCTTGATTGCGACCTATTTTCAGACCGTCATCCCCCTTCAGAACACAAAAATAACTAAATAAAAAACAGAAACTTTGCCAGCTGACCTCCTCCTCCTCACAAGATATCCCCCCCCCACCCCCAAGACATGTCCAGTAGCAAGGCCTTCTCTGCCACGCCTGACATAATCCGGGCTGAGATAACATCTGCACTGACCATTATAATAAAGCATAAGAAAGCGTGGAAGCACTGGGGTCAGCACCTTCATGTTGAGTCCCAGCCAAACAGAGGAGGGTTCTCAGAGAAACAACCGAGTGGACCGGGTTTATTACAGCTTCAAGCATTTTCCCACTCCGGAAGAGAAGAGTTCAATCATGTTTAGAGCTGAAACCCCCTATGCCAACTCTCATTTTGAATTTTTAAATATGCCTTGAATCAAGGATTACTAACACACTACTTATGCAGGAATTGACCTGTAGACTTAGAACTGGAGTATCTCTCATGGTACACTGAGCTAAAGCGCTCGTCATGAGATCTTCCAACGTTTACAACTTTTTCTCTTCAATTGCTGGTTTGCTTCATTCATTGAGAAACATCACAAAATACAATAAATGATTTAAGAAAATCCAAATATTTGCTGCATTTAATC